CGCTACCTTATCTTTATTGTCGTTTGCAGCACTTGATACCTTCAATACGGAACAATCTAAATTTGCCCGGATTGCCTTGCCTGTCTTATTATTCCATATCTAATAATTTTTTGCCATGTCTCTTATCAAATCCTGGACCTTCTTCAACTTAAGGTAAGTCATATCTGGGAGTTTTTGAAAATCCTCGTATGTGATAACCTTGCCTAGATACTTCCTAAATATATACTTTATATCTATGGACTTAAATAGCCTATGCATCTTAGGCTCGTAACTTTCCTTTAATTTCTGAATAGAGTCGTGATAAAATATTTCATTAACTGTGCCAGAATGACATTTTCTCATTAGAATGAAGACCCCGCGAGCAAAACCATAATGTTTGTAACCATTCAAAAGGTCAAACGGCATGACTGACTCGCAATTGTCTTCTTCGTTTGGCTGTAATCGGTGCATTATTTGGCGATCTTACTTCCATAGCTTGATCAAATGTATGAAGGCCAAGATGGTGTGACTTTTAGTATGGTCGCCGTTTCCTTTAATTGTATAGGAGTTGTTTCAACTTGGTCATATTGGCAGGAAGATCTAGAGAAGACCGCGACCACACTAAAGATTACACTATCTTGGTCTTAATACTTCGGATTTAACTATGAAAGTAACATCGTAGATATGAAGACCAAGATGGTGTGGCCTCCTGTTTGGTCGCAGTCTCCTTTAGCTTTATAGCGTTGGTTCGACCAAGCTGTGAAAACGAGGTTGAATTAACACTATGGAGATAAGATTGCAAAGCAATGCACCGTTTAGAGCCGAACAAATAAGACAATTATAATTCATAGTTGAGCAGACCTTCATTTCGTACGCAAGTGCATGAAGAATAGATTCGTAGGTTGATCTCACCAGAAGACGACGGCTGAGTCCCATTGTACTGCATCCGTTTGGCTTTACTACGACGTTCAGGTTGACGCAGTCCATGAGGCATCTTCCTTTGCTTCATGTGAAAACGGGCTGAGCTTTCTTCCATAATATGATGGACATTATCAGAGCTGAAATTCATTTTTGTTAAAGTCTCACGTTAATAAACAGTAAGTAAAGAAGGTTATCTAGCTTTATCTTACCTCTTATATATACTCATAACCAAAAACGAAAATGAACATGCATATATAGATATAAGATGGTTTAGCTAATTATATTTTATACTGCTCCTGCTACTTTTTCTTGAGTGTGTCTGTGTGTGTATTACCGTTTATAAGCAATATCGGTCTTAAATCAAAGTGATCAAAAAGGCTAATTTCAGGCTCTGGTCATCAAGGCCTAATTACCTAAGAAAAAGTCCTGATCGAGACTGCGTAAGTCCGTAAGCAAATATGCTTGAGGTAATAAGATGTAAGCTTGTGTGTAAGTCAAGTTACGAAACCACCTGGCATGACCTCTAAGTTTAGGGTTATTAAAGTTTAATCATCCAAGGAAAAGCATGACTACGTATGCGTAATCTCCTACGTGTGGTTTGGTTTATGAGCTTAATCTAACATGTTGGACGAGTGTAAATGAAGTTAGAACCATCACCGAGCAGGATAAGTTGAGTCGTCTTATTTTGGATGGCGACTCAAGCATAAGTAGTTCTTACTCAGCTTCCCTTCCCCATATTCAACGTGTTTCCTAATCTATCAATTTCAATAGCCTGTTTTATATTCCTTTTAAAAGTAGTCATACCATAATCAGCAAACCTACTTGTTTGAGTCCATTCTATCTCATGTCCTGTCTCTGCCATGTGTTCGGTCACTTCTGACCATTAGACCCAGCTCCCTTTACGAGCATCTTTGTGTTCCCATAGTTTTTGTCAAATGGGCCTGCATGTCTCAATAACATAAGGCCGACCACAGTAGCACACAATCTTGTAGCATCCAGATCTTGATACTGGGTCATATTTCTCTCTAAGAGATGGCATACGCGAAAAAAGTTTGAGGGCTTCTTTAAACGCTGTTTTTATCCCCCACTTTCTCACTAGTTCTCCTATCTTGTTTGAAAACAGGCATGACGGCAAAATCAGGACATGAGTGAAGGTCTCTTCTTGTCTATCTTTGACTAAATAGTCTCCTGAAAATTCATTTCTTAGTAGTGAGATATTATTAACAATTAGGCCCAATTATTTTACAGGAATATTTATTTTTCAGCCGTTCCAACTCTTTAGTCATATGTTTGCTATCCACTAGTCCCATACTAATCCCATATTAGTCCCATAATAATCATTGATTTCGAAATTCCAACCTTAGTTTTGTAACTGTGGTTGGAAAGGAAATTCAGAAAAGAGCCAGCATGCATTGGCTTCCCATAAAAATCTCTTCTCTAATGACCAGAACGTCCCAAAAGGGTAAGGACCTATTCTCTTCTATTTCCATCGCGAACCTAATGTTTCTTTCACATTTGTTAGGTGATAATAGGACACTATCTAAGCTTTCCTTACCATAAAACCAGATCACAAAGTAGTCATCCATTTATCTAACCAACGATTTAGGAGTTAGTATTGCCTCTTCCAAATAGTTACAAAACAGGTTGGAATTTTTAAATCATTGCTTATTAGAAGTATGAGACTAGCGGATAGCAATCATTTGACTAAAGATTTAGAATGGCTGAAAAAAATATTTTCTGGAAAATAATTATCTCATTTCGGAGGATTTTCAAAAACTCTTGGATACGACTGATTGGAAGTCACAGAAAGAGGTGGATGTGAAAGCCAGTGGGGAATGCGAATTTGTCTTATCAAATAAGCATATAAAGGCACATCAGAACCTAGTTTAAATAAGCAAGAAAGAAATTGTGATAATGAAGGGATGATGCGAGTATATAGGATAGTTGAATACCCCAGGACAGAGGAGATACCACAACTGTTTAGTAGGCAATTGTTCGAAGGATTGACTTTACTTGTCTCTTTGATGACTTGTATTGTGGTGCTAGGACTGACAATGTTTCGTTTACAAGTAGGTTTTTGAGATTACCAATGTAAGGTCTATTCATACGATTGTTCGAAAAATTAAACTACCAGTCCTCTTATCACTTCAAACGATATAGGATAAATACACTTAATATAAAATAGCAAGACTCATAGACGATGCAAATGAAACGTCTGAGAATGTATCAAGTCTCAGGTCCGACTAGAAATTATCATGCATACCATGGACTCCTGACAAGATGCATTCCCCTGGATCTTCCTGCCAATATGACTAAGTTGTGAAAACAAGTTCAAACAGCTTCTAAATTGACTAAGTTCTTATTCTAGAATTTTTGTCTCGAAGTCTATCCTCATTAAAATATATCCGAATATTTTATTAATTAATAGTCAATTTCCTTAATTCACTGCCTGATAGGTAGGATATCAAGACATTAGTATGGGACTGCAATTCGTCGATTAATCTTACGGCATAAGTCTCATCATTATCCATTGTTTCAAAATCGAATGTTCTGGCCCACCGAAGAACTAATTATAAATTAATCTTATAGATATCTTTTTGTGTATTCGCGCGAAATAAGAGAACAAAATATCTGGTCGCACAGACGTCATCGAGACTCACGTCGTTTTTCCATCTATGTTGCTCAACTATTTCCATTAAATCTCCTGATGACCTTGTCATTATTTTTCATACTTTCTCCCTTCGTCTGTCTTGAATACTAGGGTGGTGAAGCACCTTATCTTAAATCCTTTTTCAGCACCTCGTATTTTATTCTGTCTCGAATTCCCTCTATTTCTTAAGCTCCGATTTCCCTCACTGTTTCCTCCATTGTTTATGCTTTTAATGACTTTTTTTGAAATCAGTTCTCGGACCGCTCCTCGATACTCTTTCGATAAGCCTTTCGTCTGAGCATTCAAACGATCTGGCTTCTTCTGTGACGCCTTGCCTATTTGCTAAATCAGATATAGTGCGGTCATCGGCGGCTGAGGCGCTGTGTGCTGTCGCACGTCGCCTTGCTGAGCCGGAGGCGCTAACTAGCCTCGTAAAAAAGGTGGATCATATATCTTTTGCATGGCTAATCTAAAGTTACCTTTTATTTTATAATGAACATTTTATCGTTCTTTCACTCCATTTACTCACATTACTCTATACTTATCCATTTGGCTTATTTTCATCAGCAAGGGGAAATTCATACGTATTTTGCAGTGCTGTTTATGAGGATTCATCATTTGGAAGGGCGCTAAATATATTTGTTGAGAAAAATTTGAATTTCTACTGAGTCCAATTAAAGCTGTATTTACCTAGATTTTCGATTATTCTTTTTATTTTACCTTAAATTACCTTTAAGTTATTTTAATTTTACCCTTTATCCAATGGAATGTATTAATATAAGCAGTATGTCGAGCTATCATCAAAAGAAGTCTTAAATATAAGAGTTGTCTAAACTTGTTTTCGCAACTTGGTCATATTGTTAGGAAGATTTAGAGGAACGCATCTAGTCCGAAGTCCATTGTATGCATGATAATTCTCCAAGTCGGACGGTGGACGTGGTACATTCCCATACGTTTCGCTGGCATTGTCAGTGAATATTGCCATTCTTAGCACCATAATATAACTCGTCAAAGAGACAAGTGAAGCCTATCCTTTTGACCAAATGTGTGCTAAACATTTGTGGTATTCCTCCTGTCCTGGGCTATTCACCTCTCTTATATTCTCGTATCACGCTTTCACTATCACAATTATTCCTTGCTCAATCAAACCTTATGTGGTGTGCCCTTTTGAGCGGCTTTCATGAGAACCCTCTACACTCCACGCTGGCGTTCTCACTCCCATTCACTCTTGTGCTGGAAATGTTGAGCAGAGTCTGCCATATTGTTATGCAGTCCTCCTTCCAGAGATATTTATCAGAGTCTCCCTTTTGCTTCGTACGATCCGTCTGCTATCTTCAAAGGTCGAGTGAAATACTTGAACCAGATAGATAGCAGACGGATCATATGGGGCAAGATCGAGACTCTGGTAAGACCTAGGGAAGTAGGGCTGCGTAACAATAGGGCAGACTGATAAACATTCCCAGCACAAGGGTGAGAAGGGGCGTGGCGTGTGAAGGATTCTCATGAAAGCCACTCAAAAGGGCATCACACTAAATTTAAATAAACAAGGGAAAATATGATAATGAAGACCGTGATATGAGGATATAGAAGAGCTGAATAGCCCAGGACAGAAGGAGAGATACCATAACTGCTTAGCAGACATTTGGTCGAAGGATCGGCTTCACTTGTCTCTTTCACTAGTTGTAGTGTTGCGCTAAGAATGGCAAGACTAACTGACGATGTCGGCGAATTGTCTGGGAATGTACCACGTCCACGGTCCGATTTGGGGAAACTATCATGCATACAATGGACTCCGGACTAGGTACGTTCCTCCAAGTCTGTATACCAATATGACCAAGTTGCGAAAACAAAGTCAAACAACTTCTATTCTATCAAAGAACACTGTGATCACACAAAAGGCCACTCCATCTTGGTCTTCATATATTCGTCTTAGATATACTTATTAAGATATTGTAATGAGATGTATTCACCCTATTTCGTCTAAGGTGATGAAGGACTGGTAGTATCGAAACCCCACTCTAATACGAATATAAGATATTGAGATTAGTGAATGTTCATAGTTTACAGTCTCTTTCCTTGGATGATAGCAGTTACAAAATCGCTTTTAATCTTAGTTTTAATCTATCATCCAAAGACACTTTCTACTGCCCTGCCTATTATGAAAGTTGATTGATAGGAGTGTAATGATATTGCATTTCATCTGGAATATCCTTCATATAATGAGATCGGTCTAGCATGGGCCCATCATAGTTTGCCGTTGGTGTATACAACGTTCTTTAAGAAAATAGTTTAAATACCACTGAAATTAATCTTGCTACTTGCACTGTGCTGTTGAGAAAATGATGGATGAATTCTAGAATGATGGCAGTGGGGATGCTGGCGCTTTAATTTAAAAATGTAAATTAAAGCGTCTGGATCCTTTTTGACATCCCAACCTGTGATTCTTTGAGAACGGTATTCAAAAGCTTCTCACTTTTTATGATTATGGCTAACGCATATTTTAGTCACATCTGCTCTTGCCTTTTTATTAATAGTTAATATCTTTTTTTGTTTGCATTTCATCTCATCTGGTCAGGTGTTTGAAAGGCTTATCGGTCCCGAGGGTCGACAAGCTGCTCTAGACGCTCGTCTCGGTTGTCTTACTAGTCTGGGCCGATTAGCTGGACAACTTGCTTCAAAAACAAATATCTTTTCTTTTTCCGGCTCTGAAAAAGCTGTAACATTAATAGTTGCTCTGTTTGTCGACTTCCTTACTCAGGAAAGTGAGTTTTATTATGGACTGCCGTCATTTTCATCTGTTATTACTGTTTTTTGTTGAATGGAGAGAATAAAGCAGATAATTATCGGTATTATTAGTATCCTTGTTGTTAGAACGCTTGCCTGATGAACTCTAAAAACGATGCCCAGCTTTTCAAATTCATGGTTATTCTACAAATGCAAAAGTGAATCTTATTTTCACTTTTTATCTGTCCAGTAAGTAAAAAAAGATAAGTAAGCATCCAGTAAAAACAACACCAAATAGAGGTTTAATAGGCATTTAAACGTTGATATGAAGACCAGCATGTGGTCTCTATTTTGGTCACAATCTTTTTTCGATGTATAGGAATCGTCTGACCTAGTTTTCGCAATTTGGTCGTGTTGTCAAAGCGGCCTAGTTGGATGCACCTTGTCCGAATTTCTCTACTGTAGTCATGATAATTTCCAGCGTTTGACAGTGGATTTTGTATATCCCCTGATGTTTAGCTATCATCATCAGTGAGTCTTGCCATTATCAACACCAAGCTACAACTCGTTAGGGAGAAAAGTGAATTCAATCCCTTAATAAATTTTCTGACGAATGATCGTGTTATCACTCCTCCTTCTGTCCTGACACATCTACCTACTGCCTACTCTGTTATCTCACTCCCGCCCTAGCACATTGTTTACATTCCAGTCAAAGGATGTGCTCTTTTTAGGGAGTTTAGTGTGACGTCATCACACCTACTAATTACCTTGCCTCCCTCCGATTTGCTGATCTGACTCGTGTCTATCCGGACCTCATTCATGGGCCAGTAGATCTGTTTCTTATATTTCTAGTTAACTAATTTCACTTGGTTATAGCTCCAATGTACCTTTTTTTCTCAAGCCTTCCGTTGCACGCACACTGTCGTCTCACCGAGCAAAGAGCCTTGGCTCTTATTTCCGTGCTTACGGATATCAGGCATTGTCTACACGGTTCATACCCTGATTCAACCCGTCTATCATGAACAAACTGTGAACGCCTATTTCTGGTTGACCGCTGCACCTCTAGTGGATTTCTAGTCAATTTTGTCATAATGCCGAATTTATGTGACGATTGTGATTATCTGTCTCTCTAATCTTATGGGTACCAGGCCCCCAAAATTGGTTCTTCGAGCAGACAACACTCACGGGAAACATATTTACCTGATTTCCGAAGGTTCCCTATCCTCCTCTTTGCTATTCATTATCCTCTGATTAACGATGGGTTCTTGATCCAGGCGTCTCCTTTTTGCCGGTTTCATCATATATTTGTTTTCTCCGAGTTTGCTTAAGCAGCAGACAAAGTTATAACTAACTCTGTTTTCTTCCAATCTCCTCTTTATTAAATTCCTTTCTACAAGGATTTCAATGGCCTCCTTAATTTTCCGTTTCCTTCTGTTTTCATCGTATGAGTCAAAGGACTGACTCCACTTGTCTCTGACGAGTCGTATGCTTATGCTGATAATAGCAAGGAATACTGATGATTCCGACTAGAATATCAACAAAACGTCTGGGAGTGTACCAAGTACATGGTCTAACGCAGAAAATTATTATAACTACTACAGCAAATGACTTCGGATAAGGTGCGTCCAACTATGTCCCCCTGTCAACACGACCACGCTGCGGAAACTAGGTCAGACTGTTTTAATAGGCATTTTTCCTTATTACATATGATGGGGATTCCATTGACAGAGCTTGAAATGTACATGAGTATACAATCAGAGTCTCATCGTACAAGCCTCATGGTAAAAATTAGGCAAAATATCCTCCGTTAAGAGAGGTTGCGAGTTATTGACCTTTGATTACGAAAAAATGATGAAATAAATATCTTTCTGCAAAATATTCATTTTTGCGCGTATCCTTTTCTTACAGACAGGCAATTAATAATTTACTTATTTCAGACACCCATTTACATCCTCACTACCATTACACAAAAATTCATACTATTTTGGGTTAAATTTTTCACTATACTCTTAAAATTTCCATATCTTATTTGTTTAAATCCCGTAATTCATTATTCTCTTTTATCTCAAATATGATAGCTCACGAGGATACCCTTCTATGTGCTGCTTCACAACTCTCAATGTGGTTGAAATGCATCAGAGGCAATATTCCTGACAAGTTTGTCACTTTCGTTAAGGTAAAGCTTTCTCTCAAAATATTCGAGTGTACTAAGCCTCGACGACTGATTTTATAAAATATTTCTTTTAGTTTCACTCTTAAATTATGAGCTAGCTACCCATTCAGTCTTCGAAAGTGACGCATCTTATATAATTGGGTTTCTCATTTTATTTGCCAATACCCTGTGAAGTGATTGATAATTTAGTTAATCCTCTCGTCGCTATGTCCACAGATCACTTCAGAAGCTTTCTTCGTTGCCTTTGCTCTGTGAACATATCAAAGAAGTTCCGGTCAAATTTAAGAGTATGGAGTCTCTTAAGTCAGAGTATGACTCCTTCGATAAGCACCTATCTCACGAGCCTATGTAAAAATATGGTGTTTTAACTATTTGATTGGCTTCTTTTATAGATACTTAAATATGTTAATATTACACTTTAATTTAATTGCCTAGTTAGAAGCGAAGGCGGTATAATGCGATTACTATTTGAGTATATTATTAAAAATAAGTATTAAGTCCATTATTGTATGACCTTTGGTTTAGCTGCAGTTCAGAGCTGTTTTGATATAATTTTCTTGACTTTGTCGTGCTCTCAGTCTAGCCTACTCATGTAGTTCCACTTTACCCAGTGGGTAATGTGGTAAACCACAATTTAAGTTCAAGAAGTCATGCTTGTCCTTATTAATAAACTAGAGTTATTTTATCGAAGGTACGAAGATCAAGATGGTGTGGCCTTTCGTATGTTCGCGGTCTCCTTTCGTAATATAGCAATTGTTTTACCTTGTTTTCGCAACTTCGTCATATTGCCAGGACGATTTAGAGGGACGCACCTTGTCCGAATTCCATAGTGTGCATGATAATTTCAGGAGTCGGACTGTTGATTTGGTACATTCTTAGAAGTTTCGCCTGAATGGTCAGTGAGCCTTACCATTCTTAGCACCACACCACAATTCGTCTGGTAGTATTGAAACCCTACTATCGTTATAGTAAATATAACTTTGCTTCTTGACAATCCCACCAAAGAATATGATATGGGGAAATGTCTTGTCTTCCTTTAAATTCACATCTGTCCTCTGACCTAAAAGTACTTATGGTAATGCTGTATAGTGTTTAATGTGTCGAGATTGCACGTTGCATTATCATGGCTCGACTCCCGCTGGAAGTGGGGGGGCACGTTCGAAGCTGCAGTCCACACTGAATGAGAACACCTTTTGGGAAAGCAAGGATATGTGAAATTCATAGTGGGAAAATTTAACTACAATCCCCTCATCACCTTAAACGAAATAGGTTAAATTCATCTCATATAACGAATTTGCTGGTAGTCTCGAAGCCCTACTTATGAACGAAAAATTCTCAATGGCTTTTCTGTCAGGCTAATTTACTAGTCCTCTATTCACCTCTTCAGACGAAATTAATAGCACATCAAAATTATATATATATATATATCGTTTTGCACTTATCTCACAGTTGTCATAGGTTTCTGGATTTTAAGACAAATTAGGCCCTTTGGTTGTAAGCAATCATCAGCACAACTCTTTTGATATACAGATTTCCTAATGCATGATGGAAAATCTTCAGATTAAATTATTCAAATTTTCTATATTTCTTTATTATGAGCTTATGTTCGATTAGTTTTAATATGAGCTCCACGTTTGAATCTTTTATTTTCAGACTAATGCTTTCTCCAAAACCGTATCTCCTCAGTTACGTACTGCTTACTTACTTTGCCTGCACGACTCTATATCAAATTGTAAGTAGTCTATATGCAATCACTTTTTCTAATAACTCACCAGTTGTGCTTTCATTTCCGCTATTTATTTCTTGAATGAATTTTGTACTAATTGTAAATGCAATGAAGTGATATATATTCGAATTATCAATCTCCATTTAAGACATACTGGCTTTAGATGAGACTAGTAAGGTTTCTCAAATTAGCCCGAACTGTTAGCAAACTTGTTAGTCACATACGGAGGTTTAGCATTGTAATACATTTATTCATTCTTCCTATCCTAAAATAATATTATTGTGCTAGCCACTGCACAAAAACATTCTTTTAAATGGGTGGATTACGGTCTATCTTACTTAATTTTAATAGCTTGTAGATAAACTGATTTTGGAAGAATCCCTTGATGGATTAATGTTGGAATACCTCTCATTTCGTTTGGAGAAGCAAGTGAATTGAGAGTCCGATAAATCCTTGTTGAACTTTCTTCGTTCATATGAAAGGCATCGTCAGAGCAGAGCATCATGCTTTACGATAATTCACCAAGCACAAAGACAGGAAAGGTGGCCGGCTGTAATCCTACCTACTTTTGATAGTCTAGCTATGCCCACTTAGTAAGATATATCATAATTTGGTTGTATATCATATGCTTATCCTACATGCTGTTGAAAAATGAAGTGGTAGTTGTAGATTAAGCGTGAAACGGATGCAGTTGTAATCGAACAGCTGCATCCGCTCCTAAATCACTTTAATTTTTTATTCTGCAATGTTGACGTATGTGATTACGTTCCATTACGCATGTGCTGTGTGAATGATATGCTCGGGAAACGCGTGTGGTATATGAATGGAGACCAGATTTGAGGCTAATCAAGGCTCTTGCTTGGCGGTACTTCTTATTCCCTCATTTCTGTGTCTAATAGCCACAAGTTATTTTCACTTAATTCCCTACAATAATTCCTTCTATTCAGGATGTTTGCTGT